TGTGGGCCTATTTGTGGGACATTATTGTGGGCTATTGTCTGCCCCCACAAAACACACAGCCACTAAACTTTGCAGTATATCCTTTGAAGCGATTTGAGACGTCTAGAGGAGTGTATATATCATATATATATATATAAGGCGTTATATCAGATGCAAGGATTATTACAAGAAGTAGTATCACGGTTTGGCCGGAGGGTGTCAATAGTTCACTGAGAGAAACTCAATCTAGCTCTTCCAATCAAGCATTATCCCTCAGTTTATCTGTCTATCTGTCCGTCCACAAAGAACTCAATAAGCAATTGATATAGAGACATGATTTATTCCTGATCAGAGAGGTCTTGCAATGGAGAGTGTCAAGCGCATATTTTTATTCCGTGGATCTCATATTCTTGATCAGCTATGACATAAACAAAATCATCACAAATGTATGACAGTGTTTCTTAAGATGCACACACAGTGTTTATTGAATGTTAAGCGGTTTGTGAGTGAGTATCTCTGAAATCTTCATTCCATTTTTGGATATTTTGGTTGGAAGAGAAGTTGCAACAGGTACAACTAACATGAACCAGCATTTTACAATACAAAATTATTAGTTGGCACTTAAAATCTCGGAGATGGTACTCTGGCTACACAAATGCAAGTTGTTGTATAAATATCACATTATTTAAATGACAACAATAAGCGTGATAACAAGATTATTATTATGTTAAAAATAATAATCCTTGCATTTGATATAGCGCCTTATACCTTCTTCAAGACGTCGCAAAGCGCTTCACAGGATACACTGTTAAGAGTAGTGACTGTGTTTTGGGGTGAAACGTGGCAGCTAATTGCGCACAACAACATCCCTACAAACGGATTATGCCAGGATTATTCTCATTGGAGTAGAGAATGTTACGAGGAGACCCAACATCAAAAGCAAGATTCCATTCATAGAGCGTCATTCACGTCGGGAGGACGTCCCAAGGCGCTGTACAGTTGGGTCAGGACCCGAGCATTGGGGGGAAATGGTCAGGGTGAGTGTAGGGAAGGGAGGGAGCGAGAAGGGGGTGAGAGAGTCGAGAGTGGAGCTGAAGGCTCGGTCAAAGAGAAAGTTCTTGAGACCGGCCTTGAAGGAGGAAAGGGAGGAGGCGGCGAAGGCACTGGGGGATAGAGTTCCAGAGGGGGTCGAGACGCTGAAGGTCCGGCCACCGATGGTAGGGCGGTTGGGGCGGGGGATGTGGAGCAGACCGGAGCCAGAGGAACGGAGGGTACGGGCAGTTAAGTAGGTGGATAGTAGATCGGTGAGGTTGGAGGGAGCAAGGCCGTGAATGGCCTTGTAGGCGAGGATGAGGATCTTGAATTACGGTGTGGAAAAGTAATCCTTTCAATTTCAAACATGACCTCACCAATGATCTGCAAAAGGTTAAATAATGTTTAAACTTGCAGTCAAATATGATTGATACGTACACTTCAATATGTGATTATAACTGCTTTCTATTGATTAGTAGAACTGGCATGAACACCAATCACTTTCTTTTTCTAATGGACATTCATTCACCCTGTGGCATTTTTATGTATCCTGTTTCAGTGAGCATAACCTTACATTTATTCACATTAAAATACATCTACTCGCTACGTGGAGTCCTGTAGCTCAGTGGTTAGAGCACTCGCTTTGCAAGTGAGAGACCTGAGTTCAATTCCAGGCAGGGCGAAACCTTGGGCAAGTTTCCTTACTCCACACGCCTAAAAGTAATCCCTCCAAAAAAGAAAAAACAATAATTAAATTGGTCATTTTCAATCTACGACTGTTTGTGGGACATTGCTGTGCGCAATTGGCTGCCGCGTTCGCCCACAAATATACAGTCAATTCACTTTACAGTGTGTTCTGTGAAGCGCTTTGGGACGTCCTCCCGACGTGAAAAGCGCTATATCAAATGCAAGGATTATTATTATTATTATTATTATTATTGAATTCGATCCTCTGGGGGATGGGAAGCCAGTGGAGGGGAGCGAGGGTGGGAGTGATGTTGGCGCGAAGCCTTGTGTGGGACAATACACGAGTTGCAGAGTTCTGAATGACCTGCAGTGTGGAAGGAGGGCCGGGAAGGCCGCGAGGAGAGAGTTCCCATAGTCCAGCCTTGAGGTGATCAAGGCGTGGACCAGAGTTTCAGCAGCGTGAGGGGTGAGGTTGTGTCGTCGTCTGGTGATGGAAGGCGGTGCCAGTTGTGGCGCGGACATGAGGGAGAAAGGAAAGCTCAGAGTCGAACAGAACCCCGAGGTTCCTGATGGCTTTGAGAGGTGGAGAGTGCAGCCTTGGTAGATTTGGGTGTCATCCGCATACATGTGGAAGTTAACCCATGTCTGCGGATGATGTCACCACAGGGGGAGCATATAGAGGGTGAAGAGGAGGGGACCGAGGACAGAGCCTTGAGGGACACCGCACGGGGGCTGGAGGAAAAAACATTTGTGGAGACAAAGTGAAGATGGTGGGAGAGGTACGACCTAAACCACTGACGGACAGGGCCTTGAAGGTTGAGGTGGGAGGACAAGCGGTGGAGGAGGACAGCATGGTCGACCGTATCGAATGCTGCCGACAGGTCGAGGAGGACGTGGAGGCAGAGAGAGCCCTGGTCACAGATGATCAGGATGTCATTGGTGACCTTGACCAGGGCAGTTTCTGTGCTATGGGCATCACGGAAACACGACTGAAGGCTTCGAATAATGAATGGGTGGAGAGGAAAGAGCGCCGCTGGGAGGCGACAACTCCTTCCAGGACCTTGGACAGGAAGGGAAGGTTGGAGATGGGCCGGTAGCTTGATAGCTGCGACGCATCAAGGGAGGGTTTATTCAAGGTGGTAGTGATGGTGGCAGTTTTTAAGGGAATGGGAACGGAGCCAGAGGAGAGGGACAGGTTGACGATGTCTGTGATATGTGGGGCAACGAGGTGGAGCTGGGAGATAAGGAGTGGATTGGGGATGGGTTCAAGGGAGAGATGTTGCTTTTCTGGGACAGGATGAGTTTGGTGACAGAGGGTGGGGAAATGGGTACGAAAGTGTGTCGGGGAGGATTGGTAGGAGTCGGAGTGTGGGAGGTAGGGGGTGGGGGGTGGGTGGATGTTGGAGGGGAAGTGACCGCGGAGCGAATTCCCTTGATTTTGGATTGAAGGAAATTCAGCATCTCCTCGCAGTGAAGGTTGCAGGAGATGACCTGCGCGCGGTGGCGGGGGGCGCGGAGAAGTCGGGATGTGGTAGAAAACAGTAGCCTGGGGTTGTTCTTCACCTCCTGGATTATCCTGGAGAAGAAGGACGAATTGGCCGAGGCTACAGTGGAGCGGTAGATTTTGAGGAGGTCCGGCCAGATTTGTCGGTGTACCGATAGGCCAGATTTGACGCAGGTGCGTTCAACGGCTCGCACCTGGCTCTTCAGTGAGCGGAGGTGGCTGGTGAACCAGGGGGAGGAGCGAGAGTAGGAGACAGTACGGGAGGTGATAGGGGCAAGAGTGTCAAGTGTGGAGGAGAGGTTGTTGTGGAGGAGGGTGAGAGCAGAAGAGGGGTCGGTGAGGGTTGAACGCCAGCGGGAGAGGAGTTCAGAGGACTCAAACGCAGCGGTTATGGATTGTGGGGCTAACTTCTTCCAGGGGCGGTAGAAGATGGTGGTGGATCTGGTGGAGGTGGGGAGGAGGGTGGAGGTGGTAAAGGAGATGAAGTGGTGGTCGGAGACAGCCTTGTCGGTAATAGTGACATCCGAGACACTGAAGCCCCGGGTCATCATCAAGTCGAGCGGGTGGCCGTGACTGTGAGTGGGGGAGTTGATATGGAGGGAGAGGTTGAGCGAGGAGAGCAGGGAAGAGAAGTCTGAGGAGATGGAGCAGGAGGGATTGAAGTGCAGTTTGAAGTCGCCCAGGATGATGAGGCGATCAGAGCAGAGGCAGAGAGATGTGAGAAGTGTCGAAATATCGAAGATGAAGTTGGGAGAGATTTTAAGGGGCCGGTAGAGGAGGAGGATTTTGAGCGAGAGGAAGGACGGGTGGGAGAGTGTGAGGTTCGAAAGAGGGGAAAGAGCCAGAGGCATAGGGGAATGGGGTAAGTGGCGTCCTTGAGATAAGGGCTATACCACCGCCTCGGCGGTTGAGGCGAGATGATGTGCGATGTAGCCGGTTCGTGTGACCTCCGTGAGGGGGAAGGTGTCACCTGAGGTGAGCCAGGTTTCCGTTAAGGCCATGATGTCAATGCTCTCATCAAGGATGAGATCGTTGATGACCAGGGCGTTGCTACAGAGGGAGCGGACGTTTTGTAGTCCGATGTGGATGGAACGGTTGACAGAAGGGTATGTGGGGAGGGAGGGGGTTCCAGGTTGGGAAGCAGGGGTGGGGGAAACGCGGTAAGGGATGAGAGGTTGGCTCCCCGGGTCCGGGGTGGCTGGCGAGTGTGGTGGGGAATGGGGCAGTCGGTGTGGCTGCTGCTGGACAGCCAACGCCGAGTGCCGCGGTGAGCCCGGCGGAGGGTTCCCAGGCTGGAACAGAGGGAGGTTGCGGGAGGGTCAAGTGGGGATAGAAGGCGAGAGTGGCGGAGAGAGAGGAGGAGAGAGCGGGAGAGAGGAAGATGGAGGAGGGTTTGGGGGTAGAGAGGAGGGAGGGAGGGGGCTCGGGGCCTCGGGTCAAAGCCGCTCCCCTTGTGATACCGTCTGAGTGAGGGAGACGGTGGCGCCCATGTTAGTAAAGGAAGGCAGTGTGGCTGTTTGGGTGTGTAAAGCACTCGCTTTGCAAGCGGGACACGTGAGCTCAATTTCAGGCCGGTCAGGGCGAAACCTTGGGCAAGTTTCCTTACTCCACACAGAGCCTAATAATAATCCCTCCAAAAAAACAGAAAACAAAAATAAATTGGTCATTTTCAATCCACGACTGTTTGTGGGACATCGCTGTACGCAATTGGCTGCCGCGTTCGCCCACAAATATACAGTCACTTCTCTTTCCAGCGTGTTCTGTGAAGCGCTTTGGGACGTCCTCCCGACGTGAAAAGCGCTAAATCAAATGCAAGGATTATTATTATTATAAAGGTGTGTTTTACCTGCTGAGCCCTCGGGGTGCGGGGGTGGAGGGGGAGGACCTCAGCTCAACATCACCCGGAACTTAGCATTTTTCTCCATCTTCAAAATGGAATCATCATATCACTTTCCGGGGGTAATAATCGCTTCGGAATAATAATAGTAATAATAATTTGGTCACTTCAACCCCCGGCTGTTTGTGGACGCGTCGCTGGGCGCCATCGGCTGTCGCGTTTCACACACACACACTGACTGCTCTCACACACATTGACTGCTCTCTCTCACACAGACACACACACTGACTGCTCTCTCACACACATTGACTGCTCTCTCTCACACAGACACACACACTGACTGCTCTCTCACACACACACTCACACACACTGACGGCTCTCCGCCACACATACACTGACAGCTCTCTCTCTCAAACACACACACACACTGACTGTTCTGTCTCACACACACACACACTGAGTGCTCTCACACACACACACACTGACTGTTCTCTCTCACACACACGCACACACTGACTGCTCTCACACACACACACACTGACTGCTCTCACACACACACACACACTGACTGCTTTCACACACACACACTGACTGCTCTCTCACACACACACTGACTGCTCTCTCACACACATGCACACACTGACTGCTCTCTCTCTCACACACACACACACTGACTGCTCTCTCTCTCACACACACACACACACACTGACTTCCCTCTCTCTCTCGCACACACACACACACACACTGACTGCTCTCTCTTACACACACTTACTAACTGCTCTCCTACACACACACACTGCTCTCCCCCCACACACACACACTGACAGCTCTCACACAACACACTGACTGCTCTCTCTCTCACACACACACACACACACACGCACACTAACTGCTCTCACACACACACTGATTGCTCTCTCACACACACACACACACACACACACACACTGACTGCTCTCAAACACACACACACACACTGACTGCTCTCACACACACATACACACACACACACTGACTGCTTTCACACACACACACACTGACTGCTTTCACACACACACACTGACTGCTCTCACACATACATTGACTGCTCTCTCTCACACAGACACACACACAGACTGCTCTCTCTCACACACACACACACTGACTGCTCTCTCACAGACACACACTGACTGCTCTCTAACACACACACACACACACTGACTGCTCTCCCCCACTCACACACTGACTGCTCTCTCTCTCTCACACACACACTGACTGCTCTCACACACACACACTGACGGCTCTCACACACACACAAACTGACTGCTCTCACACACACTCACTGACTACTCCCACACACACGTACACACACACACTTACTAACTGCTCTCCTACACACACACACTGCTCCCCCCCACACACACATACACACATACTGACTGCTCTCACTCACTGACTGCTCTCACACACACACTCACACACTGACTGCTCTCAAACACACACACACTGACTGCTTTCACACACACACACACACACACTGACTGTTCTCTCTCTCACACACACACTGACTGCTCTCACACACACACACAGTGACTGCTCTCACACAAACACACACTGACTGCTTTCACACACACACACACTGACTGCTCTCTCACACACACACACACACTGACTGCTCTCTCACACACAAACACAAACTGACTGCTCTCTCTCACACATTGACTGCTCTCTCTCACACAGACACACACACTGACTGCTCTCTCACACACACACTCACACACACTGACGGCTCTCCCCCACACATACACTGACAGCTCTCTCTCTCAAACACACACACACACTGACTGTTCTGTCTCACACACACACACACACACACACACTGAGTGCTCTCACACACACACACACTGACTGTTCTCTCTCACACACACACACACACTGACTGCTCTCACACACACACACACTGACTGCTCTCACACACACACACACACTGACTGCTTTCACACACACACACTGACTGCTCTCTCACACACACACTGACTGCTCTCTCACACACATGCACACACTGACTGCTCTCTCTCACACACACACACACTGACTGCTCTCTCTCACACACACACACACACACACTGACTTCCCTCTCTCTCTCGCACACACACACACACACACACTGACTGCTCTCTCTTACACACACTTACTAACTGCTCTCCTACACACACACACTGCTCTCCCCCCCACACACACACACTGACAGCTCTCACACAACACACTGACTGCTCTCTCTCTCACACACACACACACACGCACACTAACTGCTCTCACACACACACTGATTGCTCTCTCACACCACACACACACACACACTGACTGCTCTCAAACACACACACACACACTGACTGCTCTCACACACACATACACACACACACACTGACTGCTTTCACACACACACACACTGACTGCTTTCACACACACACACTGACTGCTCTCACACATACATTGACTGCTCTCTCTCACACAGACACACACACAGACTGCTCTCTCTCACACACACACACACTGACTGCTCTCTCACAGACACACACTGACTGCTCTCTAACACACACACACACACTGACTGCTCTCCCCCACTCACACACTGACTGCTCTCTCTCTCACACACACACTGACTGCTCTCACACACACACAAACTGACTGCTCTCACACACACTCACTGACTACTCCCACACACACGTACACACACACACTTACTAACTGCTCTCCTACACACACACACTGCTCCCCCCCCACACACATACACACATACTGACTGCTCTCACTCACTGACTGCTCTCACACACACACTCACACACTGACTGCTCTCAAACACACACACACTGACTGCTTTCACACACACACACACACACACTGACTGTTCTCTCTCTCTCACACACACACACTGACTGCTCTCACACACACACACAGTGACTGCTCTCACACAAACACACACTGACTGCTTTCACACACACACACACTGACTGCTCTCTCACACACACTGACTGCTCTCTCACACACAAACACAAACTGACTGCTCTCTCTCACACACACACACTGACTGCTCTCTCTCTCACACACACACACACTGACTGCTCTCTCTCTCACACACACACACACACTGACTTCCCTCTCTCTCTCTCTCACACACACACACTGACTGCTCTCCTGCACACACACACTGCTCTCCCCCCCCACACACACACATACTGACTGCTCTCACACGCACACACTGACTGCTCTCACACACACACACACACTAACTGCTCTCACACACACACACTGACTGCTCTCTCACACACACACACACACACTGACTGCTCTCACACACACATACACACACACACTGACTGCTCTCTCACACACAGACTGCTCTCTCTCACACACACACACACTGACTGCTCTCTCTCTCACACACTCACACACACTGACTTCCCTCTCTCTCTCTCTCTCTCACACACACACACACTGACTGCTCTCTCACACACACACACTAACTCCCCCCCCTCTCTCTCTCACACACACACACACACAGACTGCTCTCTCTCACACAGACACACTGACTGCTCTCCCACACACACACACACTGACTTCCCTCTCTCTCTCTCACACACACACTAACTTCTCTCCCACACACACACATACTGACTTCTCTCTCTCACACACACTGACTGCTCTCTCTCACACACACATTGACTGCTCTCTCTCTCACACACACACGCTGACTGCTCTCATTCTCTCTCACGCACAATAACTGTTCTCTCTGACACACGCACACATTTTGACAGCTCACTCCCTCTCCCGCAAACCCACTGACTGATCCCTCTCCTTTTCATTCACACACACGGTCTGCAATCTCACTCTCTCACACACACGAACACTCGGACTGATCTCTCTCTCAGGATCTCACACACAAACACTGACGACTGAGGCACAGAGAGAGAGAGACAGCGAGAGACGGAGACGAAGTGAGACAACGAAAGAGAGAGCCTGAAATAGGGAGACGGAAATATATAAACTGAGAGTGACTGACAGAGAGAGAGAGAGAGACTGTGAGAGAAAATGCATCAGTTGTGGTCGCTTACAGCAGTTTAGCAGTGACTGAGGGTCGGGGCTCTCCAGCCGCCCGCACGCCCGTAGGCGGTGTGTGTCAATAACGGTCCCCAGAGCAGAGATGGGAGAGGAATCAGGATCAACATCTTTAATAATCAGTCACTACAGTGTCCAGAATATATTCCATATTACACAGACTGTGTGGACACTCACTGCCTCAGTCAAAAAGGGAGAATTGCACTCTCAGCTCAGCTCTGATTCCCCGCAGTGACTTCAGCTGATTCTCTCCGTCTGAACTGAACTCATTCCCCCTCAGCCTGAAACACATTAAACAGGAAATAAACCCACGGGATAATGGTACAAACTGTAAACTGTTCGTGCCGCAGTTTAATACATAAATAAATCCCTTCAAACTGTTCCCATTCTGATACACAGCCCTTTCTCTGTGTGTTGATCACATTAAACACTGACACAAACACTCACCTGATCCTCTCCAGACTGGTGCAGGTCTGTATGAGGCGGCGGAGAGCGGGGACAGAGCCGTCTGTGAAGGAGTTACACTCCAGGCCCAGGATCCTCAGTGTGCGGTTTGTACTGAGAGCGGAGACCAGATCATCAGTGCAGCCATCGGTCAGTCTGTTGCTGTCCAACCTGGAGATCAGAGACACAGAGACATGACAGGGATCAAAGTAAACACAGTGGGTATAACCCACTGTTACTCACAGTTTGTTTGTTGCCGGACAGGTTGTAAGGTCGCACACCCACACTAACACACACATGCAGCCACACACACACATACAAACACACATGCACGCACACACACACTAACTCACAAACACACATAGACAGACACAGACACACATAGATTAATAAACAAACACAAACAGCTCACAACCAAACCACACGCACACATACAGGAACATACATATACAAAGACACACACCACACAACTATGCACACACAAACACACACACAATTATACACACAAACACACTTACAGTCACACAAAAACACAGATGCACAAACACACACAAACACCATCGCACACACACAAGCACACACGTGCACCCAAATACACACAAGCAAACACACAAGCACACACAAAACAGACGCGTAGAAACATATACACAAAGAAACACACTGACGCACACAAACACACAGACACGCAAACACACACCAACACACAATCACACACACAACCAAACACACAAGTACACACACACGCACCCAGAAACAGACACACATTCGTACACATACACAAACATACAAATGAAGAAGCTCACTCAGACCCAAGTGCACCCATGATACACACACAATCACAAACAAACGCACAGACGTAAACAAACAAAGTCACACACAAACTTACATATAAAGACACAGGAGCAATCACACAAGCACACGCACAAACACACGCAAAGGCACACAAACACGCAAGCACAAAGAAGCACCCAAAAACACACACAAGCACAAACATATACAAAAACAAATACATGTACATAACAATAATAATCCTTCCATTTGATGTAGCGATTTTCGCTATATCACACAAACAAACAAACACACACACAGAAACACACACACACAAATATACACAAACACACACACTAACAAACACAAACATAGACACAAACACTCACACACAAACAAACAAACGGAAACAATCTCAGGTACACCCACAATCACACACACAAACACAAACACAGAGAAGCACAATCACACACACAAACAAACACAGACACACAAAAATACATACACACAGAAAAGCGAAAACAAACACACAAACATATACGGAAACAAACACACAAACACAAGCACACACATATATAATCACACACACAAACAAACACAGACCACATTGAAATACAAGCGCAAAAACACATGCACATATACACAAATGTGCACATACGCACAAATACATACAAACGCACACAATCACAATCGAACACACAAACACAAATGCACAAAGACACATACACATCGCACACAAATACAAACACAGATGCACAAACTGAAACATACGCACACAGGGACGCACATAGAAACACACACGCACACCCAAACACACACAAGCACACACAAAAGCACACTCAGAATCAAACACAAATACACACAGACACGCAGACACACAAACACACTTACACACAGACAAACACATGACACAGAGAAATACACGCACAGACACACATACACAAAGCACACAGACACACAAACACACAGACACGAAAACGCAAGCGAAAAACAAACATACACAACCAGACATACACAAACACACACTCAAATACACAAAAAAGCGTACGGAAAAACACACACATAAACACATGTACAAAGAAAGACAGACACACGCAAACAAACAACAACAAGATTCCATTCCAACAAACACGCAAACACACACAAAAAACGCAAACACACACAACCAAGTACACACAAACACACAAGTATACACAACTGCACAAAACCACACACACACAAAAACACACAAGCATAAACACAAACAAGCTTGCCCACGCATGCGCAGACACATATACGCACACAAACGCGCACCACAACTGCACACACAAGCAAACGCACACACAAACATACACAAAAACACACACGAGTACATGCACAAACACACAAACAAGCACACACGCAAATACACACAAACACAGACAAGCAGACAAAACAAACACGCATAGACAAACATACACCCACAAATAAATACACACACAGAAATGCACACATAGACGCACACTCGAATACATACACACAAACAACAACACACAAACAAACATACACAAACTAACACAGGCGCACACGCAAATACAAGCACACACGCAAACACAAACACACAATCGCACAAACACACACATAAAAACAAACAAACACACACGAAACACACACAGATAAACACGCACACAGAGGAACATACAGACACACAAACACGCACATGCAATACACACACCGATAAATTCAATCACATAAGCCCAGAAACACACGCAATCACAAACAGACACAAGCATACACAAACATACGCAAACACACACAAAAATACACACGCACGCGCACACAATTACACACACATAGAAACACAGAAACAAATAAATACACACACAAGCACACACAACCACCCACATACATGCACAAACACGTACACACAAACAAACACACACAGAAGCACACAAACATTCACAAAAATACTTACAAACTCACACACACAAAATCACACACAAGCAAGCATACGCGCTCAAGCACGCACACCAAACACTGACACAAGCACACAGAAACATATACAAAATCACACACAGACCCACACACACAAATAAACGCACATACACACAAACACACAAAATCACACACAAACACACACATGCGAACATACCTTTGCAAACACAAACACACACAATGGCAAACACACACACACACAAAAACACAGAAACACACACACACAGAAACGCAAACACAAAGACACACACAGAAATACATAGCGAAACACATAGAAACACACAAAGGTCACAGACAAACACTCAATAAAAGACACAAACAAACACAAAAACACAGAATCCAGCACAAATACACACAAAAGTGCACACACACACAAACAAATGCAAACAAGCAGACAAATGCACACAGACAAACACACACAGAGACACACACATACTCAGAAAAACATTCACAAAAACACACCCAGGGATACATGCACAAAAACGCACACACATACACACAAATACATACAAACACCCACAAAGGCACTCACAAAAACACACATAGGCACATATATACAGACATACGCACACATACACACACACAAACACGTACCGACACACACAGACATACAAACACACATACACACACTCAGCCACACATACAAAAAACACACACACACAAAGACACACACAGACACGCGCACACACTGAAACACACACACACCGATTAATATATGTTGAGAGTTTGATGTAAACGATGGTTTGTGGCCTCACACTGACACACCGATTCCTGTTACAATATTCAGCCGCACTGAAGACAGTCACAATAAACACATTGAGATATTGGAGTCATTCAGACTCTGGAGACACAGTGCGTTACTTACCACAGTCTTTGTATTTTACACTCCGGGTTCCTCAGAGCCTCACACAGTCGCTTCACTCCACAATCTCCCAGATTATTATTATTCAGGTTCAGCTCCGTCAGTGAGTGGTTTGTGCTGAGAGCGGAGGTCAGATCCTCGGTACAATCAGCTGTCAGATTGTTACTGTCCAACCTGGAGATCAGAGACACAGAGACATAACAGGGATCAGAGTAAACACAGTGTGTGTCACCCACTGTCACTCACAGTTTGTTTGATGCCGGACAGGTTGTAGGGGTGCGACACACACACACACACAATCACACACACACACACAAAACACACGCACACACACACCAGCAAACACACATAGCAGACAAACACACAGACAAAGATACACATTTACTCTCACACAAACAAACACACAAACAACCGAACACATGATCCACAGACAAATAAACAGACACGGACACACACACAGACACACACAGAAATACAAAAATACACACAGAAACACACACAGCAAAATACATACACTCTCACGCACACAAACAAACACACAAACATACACACAACAACATACAGACGCCCACACAGAGACACACATACAAAATTACACACACGCACACATGCACACAAACACACAGAAACAAACACACAAACACACGCATACACGCACAAAAAATTGCGTGAACATGTACACAAACAGATACCCAAATACACATTCAGAAACACACAAACAAACATTAACATAAAAAACTCACAAACACGCACACACGTGCGCACACAAGCAAACATAACGCACACAATCACACACACACACAAAAGCATACACACACAAATAGAAACATACATAAAGACACACAGAACACATACTCAAAAACACACAAACACACATGGAAACACAAAATTTTATAAAAACATACACCTACATAAACATACGTATGCAGATACACACAAACAAACACAAAAACACACGCAAATGCAAACACACACAAACACCCCCACACAAACACACACACAAACGCAGAAACTCTCACAAACATTCACAAATACACTCACAAACTCATACACACAATCGCACACACGGAAACATATACACGCAAACACACACACAAACATAAACAAAATCACACACAAAGACACAAACATAAATACACATACACACAAACAAACACACAAACACATACATAAACATGCACACACAAATAGACACACAAACCTACACACATAAGCGCACACACAGAAACACGCATAATCATACACACAAACATACATGCGAACACACCCACGCAAACATATGCAAAACGACACAAACATACACACCACAGACACACATAAACAGCCGCACACATACACACTTACAAACACACACAAAGACACAACAACATAAACAAAATTACATTTATAGAGCGTCTTTCATGTCGGGAGGACGTCCCGAAGCGGTGAATAGTCAGGGGGTGGGGTCCCAGCATGAGGAAGGGATGGGGTAGGGGTAATGGGTGAGGGAGGGGTGATGTAGCGGTGAGGCAAGTCAGAGAGGTGGGAGGGCGACAAGAGGCACAGTCGAAGAGAAGGGCCTTGAGACCGACCTTGAAGGAGTCAAGAGAGGAAGTGAGGGGAAGGGACCGTGGGATGGAGTCCCAGAGTGTGGGGCAGAGAGGCTGAAAGCCCGGACACCGATGGGAGGGCGGGTCGGGTGGAAGACATGGAGCAGCCCGGAACCCACTGGACGGAGGCCA